AAAGGTCCCGTAAACTCTCTTCTCATTTAATTTGCTTTTCTTTTGCTGCTCTGCTTGGGTGGTTTTTCTACCTTGTCTTCCAAATCACTGACTTGACACTCTGTTTCATCTAACTTACTGTTTATTCCTTCCAGTGTATTATTTATTTCAGATATTGCATTCTTGATTTCTGAATGGTCCTTTTGTATAGCTTCTATGTCTTTTTTAATGCTGTTGAGCATCCTATAATCACTACTTTAAACTTTGTATCTGATAATTTGCTTGCCTTTATTTTATTTTGCTCTTATGGAGAATCCTCTTGTTCTTTCAGTTGGAGCCTGTTTCTTTGTTTCCCTTTTTGGCTGCCTCTTTGTGTTTCTATGTATCAGGGAAATCTGCACAGACTCTTGGATAGCCCTGTGTCAGATGCTGCTTGTGACTGGTCTTCGGCAACCTGTTTGGAGTTATCAATGATTTGCAGCTTGTGGCTCCCTCTGCTGGGCCTGGGTGTGTGCCAAAAGAACCAGGCTGCACCCCAAGGCCCACTTTTACCAACACGGGGCCTGTGGGAAAGTCTGCTAAAGACACAGAGCTCTCAAAGATCTGTCTCATCTTACAGGGTTTCTGTTAAGCTTAATCACTGAAAGTGCCCCAATCTGTACTCCTCAGCAGCCCAGCTGAAGCTCCACAGTGTAGGGCAAGAGGGATTCCTGCATATGTGGCTATTGCTTCCCTCAGGCTGATGTCACATGGAGGGGAGTGCTCTGCCTGAGAAAGATGGCTTCTGAAATATGGAGAATGACTGAGCACAGGGTCTCCTCATGCAGCTCTAGTCCACTCTGCCTTCTCTCTGCCAGGGCCCAGGGTAAGGGGCTGTGAATGAAATTTTGTGCATTGACCCATGAAGAGGCTCTCTGCATTTCTAGCCCTCTCTCCCTGGCAGACAGAAACCATGCTATGTTTCCCAGCCAGATGTCACTTACAGCCTTTTCCAGTTCTGGTGCTGTAGGCTGTTGTGCTGACCTTGCGAACACCCTTGGGCCCCTGAAATATCCCTCTGGAACTTCAGCTTCCACCTGTGGGAGACCAGTGAGTCTTTCACACGCCTGGACTTTCTAATAGTCTTACTGTAGTGATGTGGTTTCTTCAGTAATTCCTTGGTTATAAGGCTTCTCTTCATCTTTTGTTCAGTTGGTTATTCATGATATTATTCTATAATGTAGTTGGAATTCCAGTTTGGTCCTGAGAGGAGGTTAGTGTGGATTTCACCTCCTCTGCCACCAGCTGAGATCCTTACTCATTAAATCTTAATGCCAGCTATTAGGAAAATAATGAGCTATGCTATTTTACCTGGACTATGATGTCTCCGAGAATGCAGATATTAGTAAATTAGGAATTTAAAATGGGTATCTGGAATACAATATGAAAAATTGACTTCATTAACTCTTTAAAATTTGTTGAAAGTTCTTTTGGAACCAAATATGTGGTCAATATTTGTAAATGTTATAAGTCCCTTTAAAATAATATACATTTGAACTATGTGTTGGCTCTGACTTCTCGATGTATACATATTTTTTATGAAACCCACTGTTTAAATCTCCTGGATCTACAGTAATAGATTGTCTTTGATCCATCAGGTTTGTATATAGTGATGTGTTAAATTTTCCAGGTGATTGAGTATTTGCCAATTCCTTCTTGTACTCTTGTTTTACTTTAAATACTTTGACACTATTTATGGTTGTTTTCACTTACTGGGTTTTTTCTTTTAGAGTCACAGAGTGTTCCTTTTCCTCCTTATTAATGGTTTTTGCCTTTGAATCTTTTTTCAGAGGGCTGATACTGTTACATTAACTTTTATATTTTCTGTTTTTTACCTCTTTTTATTAAGCCTTCCAATGCAACTTTGTTTTATGCCTCTTATACTGACTTTTTGTAATCTTCTCGGATAATCCTAATCTTTTAATAGTTAAGTTTTATTTGTTACTTTTATTATGATCCCAGGGAGGGACTGACATATCTATATTCTTGCTAACCACACCTTTTATGTATTTTTGTGTCTCTTTTCTACTATCTGTTGATTGAGGTAGAATTCTACCCTTCATCTTTTTTCTGGTGTTGGAAATTGGAGATAAAATTTTGGAATGTCTTTAAACATGCCTTCATCTCAAAGAACGTCAAGGAGTTAGCATGGATTCCCTCAAATTACACATTCTGTCTCTATCATTTAGCTATTGTAGTTTCACATTTTGCTGTTAATCTTTTTAATTATAAATTTTGAAACTATTACCATTTTGCAGTCACTATTTACTTGCATGAATTTTTCATCATTTTATGCACTAATCATTGTTTCTTTGCTGGCACCTCTGGTTTACCTGAAAATATTGTTCACTCTTTTATTGAGGGTCTTTAAGGGGGAACACTGCCAAGTGTGATATGTGAAAATTGGCCTTTATTTTGAAGGAATTTTTTAATCGATTAAAAATTCTAGGTGAACATTTATTTCCCCTCAATATACTAATATGATTACTGCATTGTCTTCTAGAATCTACTGTTGGCTAATGAATATTCTCCTTGTATTTTAACTGTCACTTTTTTAAACTAAAAGCTTTAGTAAGCTTATTTTCTTGCCAAGATCTCTTTTTCCAACTATTGAATTATGAAAATTTTAAAACTTCCAAAAACTTGGGAAATTTTACAGTAAACATAGATTCACAATTAACATGTACTGTACTTGCTCTGTCACATTTCTGTCCCTTTATCCATTTCTCTATTTATTAAAAAACCATCCTCAAAATTGAAGCATTTTTAGCACCAAACAATAGTATACTTCCCTCCAAACACTTTAGCATGTTTATTATATTAGCTAGACTTCAATATTTGTATTTCTTTTTTTCTGAGATAAAATTTACAATAAGATGTGTAAGTATTATCTTTCTTTCAGTACTGATTAAATTCCTGTCCTGTAAAATCCAAATCTTTATAAAAAGACAGAACATGAGCATCATCCTAGAACTTTAGAAAATCTTCTCTGAAGAAAGGAGGCATACTCTACTACCCTGGGATATTTCTAAGGAGAGAGATATTTTCTGTTTCATACTAGTCAGAAAACAAATTTGCCCCCTGACCTGGAGGGCTACGTTAACCCTGGCTTCTAAAACCTAAAACTGTTTGCCGCTCACCCATCCTTGACAAGAGACTCTGGGCACGTGGCAAGCCTAGGACAATTGCCTCCCAACAAATTGGCCTCACACAGCTGGTCCTGGCAGTTTCCCCATGAGGACACCAGTCCACCAGCCACGATGATTAATGGGACCACCGGACGTTTGGAACAAACTCGCTCAGTTGGTTTCCTTCAGTATTTAACAAATTTCCTAAACCATAGTTGTTTTAAGTCTCCCATACTCACCCCACCGGTGCATGTCACCATGTTTGCATGAGACGCATGTGAAGGCCTGGCTTTCACACAGGAGGTACAATCCCAAGGGCACACAGGGCGACCCTGAAAGACAGGCACTTGCCGTTGCTGAGGTTCCTAAGGGGAACACAGCCGCCGGGGTAAGGTGGGCCCCTGGCCAGCTGGGATCCTTACAGCTCTCAGCTCTGTCAGTGCTGAAGGGGGTTTGGAAGGAGGTGGGGACAGGGAAGTCTCTCCAATCTGGCCTCTTTGTTCATAGTGTCCAGATGGCATTTGTCACCACTATGCCCCACCACTGAATGACTGAGAGTCAGTGTGGGGACATTGTCCAGAGTCACTCTGCATGGGGTGTCAGGTACTGGCAGCAGCCCCTGTTTCCTCCTATCAGATGCTGAGTGGCCCTCAGCATCCATGTGGTGAAAGACCTGGACCAGGTGGTTTCCTTCTGGAAGGAGGACTCAGGGCAGCTCTGAGTGACAGATGTCATTAATGCCTCTCCACCTCCCATACCTCCTCGGTGTTTCCTCTTCAGGTGCCTGGATCTTTGTTCTTCCTGCACTGTTACGAAACCTGTGTGTGCCATTCCAGTGGCTGTAATTTCCTCTTTTTTCTAACAATCTCCTATTGTCACTCAGACTTTTCATCAAGAAAAATCAGATACAAGCCTGGCAACAACATTTCCAAAAACTAAAAGCAAAATTAAATATGAATCACCTGAGCACTCTGAAGGCTGCACCCTCCAGGCTGGACGGGCAAAATATGAGGCGTCATCCCCAGCAAGGGTCAGAACAGAGTCCATCATTTTCAGAACTGGTCTCTATAACGCCATTAAGCCCCCTCCACTTCTCTCCTGAACACAATGCAGGAAGGAGCTGATCCCTTTTGGCCTTCCTCAGAAATAGCTGCCTTCAGCAACCAAAGAGCCATAATAGGGAAGTGTGTGGACAAGGGGAGACACAAAGTTAGATGATCAGAGCATTGGGTGTAGCTTTTGATAAAGGGCAGACCATTGTCAGACTGCAAATAGCCTAGCCAGCCATGCAATTTCCAGATTGTTCTAGAACTCCCTGAGCTCCCTTTTCAGCTTTGGAGGAAGCTGCTGTGGGGGAGGAATGAGGCAAAGCAGCGAACACAAACAGCAGACACCGTGTCCATCAGGTCGGCCCATCGCTGTCCTCTCTGCCCCTGAGTCAGAGCTCACACAGGAAGAGGCCTGTACGGTCTGGACTTTGTCTGCAGCGACCTGAGTGCAGGGAAATAGCCCCGGTGCAGAGCCCCCTCCGACCAGGGCAGCAGCTGTGTGTGCCACTGTCACCCGAGAATCAGGGGCTGACCACATGGGGGGGAGCTGAGACAGTCTCTTGTGGATGCCTGGTGTCTCTGCTACAGCGTTCTGATTGGGGGGGTTTCAGAGGTGAAATGAAGGTAGATGATCTGATGTTATGTATCAAAAGTGCCACTGAAGGAAAGACTCTGAAACTCTGGAGACTTGTGGAATAATGTTTTCTAAGTACCTCTATGACTTTATGGAAATGACCTCAACACAGGAGAAAGTTGTATGTGTGCAATTGTGAAATGAGATGGAATGAAGAATCTTCTCTTTCAGTTTCAAAACTGCAGGAAGAAGATGTGGATTATTGCTCTGAAACACTTCCCGTGAGCTGTGGACAGATGAAAGGCACATTATATAAGAACAAGATGAAAGGAGGTAGGTTTAATGGCATACTTAATTTATAATACTTATGCAAAGGAATCGCAAGAATTAATGGAATTACTCATGTGAATTTCACATCACTTAAGAAATTGATCTTCCACTGTGGCTGGAAAGAAGACAAAAGGATTCCTAAGATGATATGTTTACACTTTAAACAATGGCGCGTATTATTAGGTGCTCACCTCCATGAGCAAGTGCCCATGAGGAAGCCCAAAGAACGAAAGAGAAGTGCAGGATCGTCCATCTCTGGGTAGAAAATGCTGCACTTTTTTCTTTGAATCCGATATAACAGGGAAGAGGACCTCTGCCTGCAAGCTCCCCTCCTGTGTCCCCTCTGGATAATCACCGCCAGGACAGGGTGTCAGGTGTGGTGGGGAGATCACAGGGTTTAGAGTCAGAAACCCTGAGTCCCAGCCTCAGCCCTGCCCAGAGCGGCAGTGTGAAGGCTGGGACCTCCCCGAGCCTGAACGTTCTCATCTGAGAAACGGGTGACAGGTACAAACCTGCCTCCAGGTGTGACTCTGAGAGTTAGTTCACACAATGAATATAATGTGTTTTGTGGCTTTAACATTAGGAAGCTTTTCAATCGTTGTCTATTATGATGAACTCATATAAAGTTTCTCTTAAAATGGGTAGTACAAACCAATTAATATAATTGTCTGCAAATTAACTATTTTTTAAACAGCTTTACTGAGATATAACTCACATATCATACAATTCACCACTTGGAGTATAAAATTCATTGCTGGATTTTTGTTTGTTTCTTTTATTTGTTCATAAGATTATGCAACAATCATCACAATCTCATTTTAGACCATTTTGTCTCCCACTAAAGAAAAGAAAACTCATGCCTCTCAGTCGTCAATGCAACTCACCCCACTGCCTCACCCTCTGCCTTAACCCAGGCAACCACTAATCTATTTCCTGGCCTATACACTGGACTATCTAGGCATTTCATATCAATTAACTCATATAACATGTGCTTTCTGCGACTGGTTCTTTCATACCATAATGTCTTCATGGTTCACCCGTGTAGAAATATGTATTACATTTCCTTCTTTTGGATGCCAAATACCATAATACTCCATGGTCTGGATTTGCCATATTTTGTTTATCTATCCTTTTGTTGGGGTTTTCTACTTTTTGGCTATTATGAAGGGTACTTTTTTTGAACATTCACATAAAGTATTTGTGTGAACGTATTTTTAAAAATTCTTTTGGGTATATATCCAGGAGTGGAATTACTGAGTTACATGGTAATTCTATGTTGAGCTTATTGAGGAAAAACTGAACTATCTTCCACAGGATTTCACCAGTATATATTCCCACTGGCAAAGTGTCAGGGCTCCCATTTCTCTACATTCTCACCAACACTTATTATTGTCTTTCTTTCTCCTTATGGCCATCCCAGTGCTTATAATGTAGTATCTCATTGTGGGTTTGACTTTCAGTTATTGTGACTGTCTATTATGTATAACTTAAATTTTCCACTGAGTAATATTTCCCAATTATTTTAATGTTAGCTACTCATGATTTCAGGGATGGAACACCTCTGCTCAGCAATGCCATTACACTTAGATGAAAGCTGGTGTAATGGAGGGCACCGACGTTGCCACGGTGCCATTCTGAGCAGCAAGGCCCCCACTTGAGATCTTAGTCCACGGGAGGTTCTGCTTCCACGTTGCCGCAGGCCACCAGAAAGAGTCTGGCCTGTTTCCTTATCTCCATAATTCAAGAGCAAACGGAAATCTTCTTCTTGTGCAAAGTCGCATGCTTTTCCTTGTAGGTGACTTTAGAATACTTTTCTACCGTTGAGTAAATGTTAATGATCACTTTTTGTTGTTGTTGCACAAAGATCAAAGATATGTGTGCACAAGGCAGGACATCTTGAAGGGGATATATAGATGGGGTTTTGAATTCTGATAAATGAAAGGGGAGGTCAGACTCTCCTGATATTGGTCTTGAGCCCAAATTGGGAGACCTGAGATCCAGGGCACTGGGAGGCCAGTGTCTGAACTGTGAAGACAGAGAAGTTTCAGGACCAACTTATCCTGGTCTTACAGGCACCACAATGAAGTGTATAAAGACAGAAGACGGAAACTGGTTCACCCCCAGGGAATTTGGAGTTGCAGGAGGCTATCAAAAATCAACTCATTGGAAGAGGATTGTGCGCTGTGGTGGAAAAACCCTAAAATGGCTGATGAAGGTATTTCAGCGATGCGCAGGAGGGGCGACTTTCCTTGTTGTAGTCGAAGATAAGGTCACCGATTGATCACCCAATGTATGTTGAGTTATCTCCAGATCCCTGAGGCCCCTGACTTTATGCTTCACTAGGGGAGAGTTAGTTGCCTGACCCTCCGACCTCAGTACAAGGGAGCCTGTCAATTTCTCAAAGGGGCTCTGCCAGGGTAGGTTCAGGAGCTCCAGCAGGTAAAGGTCATTCTGACTCAGGGGCCTGCAGACAACTTCGGGCACTAAAAGAAAGAAGACTGTAGGCAGTCAACAAGTGAGCAGAAGATACTCCAGAGAAAGAATAGCATGAAATCTAAAACCACTAGTAACTAGGCTCTGTGGGTTGAGGTAGACGCATTGAGTGTGATATGACCTCATCCACAAGCTGGGGCTGTGTGCAGAGGGATTTAACGTCAGGCTAAAGAGTTAAAATTCATAACATAGTGCAGAACCAGGGAGGTCTCCTGAGGTGTGACATGACATATTTAAAATAGTATCTCAGACAACATGGGGACTTGAAATGACTTCATTGTCTTTCAGCCCAAAGAACCTATAGTCAACATACAAGGCTCCCAAGTCCCTCCTGTCTGAATGTTCCCTGACTGACCTGCCCTGGTCGTTCCTTCCCTGGGCCCCCTCAACTTACCATTAAGGCCCTTCTCATGTTGTTTTATTCTTACCCTCCCATGCATTCCCTTTGACTCTCTACCCACACTAGGGTTTGTCCTTCTTTGTGTGCCCAGCGTTGTCCAGCTGCCTGTAGGTGTGTGACCCGTGTGTGTCGGTTGAATAGTCCTGGTGTGAGGAGGCAGGTGTGAGAGGCACTGGTGGGAATGGGGAGGAGGGGAGAGGTGTCAAAGAGATTGTGAAGGCAAACCTCTGAAAACTTAGGAAAAGAGCACATGAGGAAGGAAACGTGTTCTGAGGAGGATTTTCCAGGTTCCATGGATGAATTCTAGAATAAATACAGGTGAGGAGAGAGTGTTTTGCATTGAGTTGATAGTGTGAGGTCCAAGAAGAAATATTTAAAAGGAGGTTAATGCCAGACTCACAAAATATAAACACAGGCTAAGCATATACTTGGATCTTTTTATCTTTCAGGAAGGAAAACTACATATACCACCTGGAAAATATGGCAAGGAAGAAAAGGTGATTATCTTTTCATACCAGTTCTTATTACATAACTGATTTTATATGTACTGCTTTATAAGCAGTTTTATATATGCATTTTTAATGGTTTCTCAATTGTGTGATTAGCGTTGTTTCCTCTTTTCTTCTCTCCTACCTATTTCATTTTGTTTATTCATTTTGCATCCATCAGAGTTGCTCCATTGAACATCAGTTTGTATGTGAGATTATCTGTGAAAGCTAAACCATCTGATGTTTAGATATTAAGGAACCATGAAAATAGACTCACAGAAGAGTTATAGTTAAAGATATTGTATGAGTGTCAAATGTCATGCCAACATGTTTATGGAATACATAAAAACATTGCTTAAGAAGTTCAAGAGGGTCTTCAGCTCAATCCCAGATTTTGTTCATATTTTTTACATCCCCTTCCATTACTAAATGAAACATACACACAGATAAACAGAATTCTTTCTCAATTGGAAGTTATTTGTCCTTTATGGGGATGGTGCTGTTGGGGAGGGAGCTTGTGGGAGACGGATGTAGCCTACGTGAGGGGCTGGCTTGGAAAATGGTTTACTTTGATGCCCCCCAGTGGCTCCACCTCAGGGGGTGTGCAGGTCTCCTTTCTGTCTGTGAAAGTGGTTTCTCCCTCTGTGGACGAAGGCTGTGGGGGCAACAAAAAAATATGTGCAGTGTAGATCAAGACTGAGTGGTAGTTTTTCAAGACTGAGTATGAATGAGAACTTGAGAAGGAGGGGAAGGTGGGAGGTGCTGTTCTCACACTTCAGGTAGAAATGGCTGCCCAGGACTTTCACAGAATCCCCCATTAGCTTACACAGAGCTGGCCAGTGGGACTTCATCTGACACTGGAAGTGTAAGGTCCAGACTTTCACCTTATCTGATGATCTGCAAATTTGGAACTAAATATCAGTCTTTGGGACTTTCCATCCACTGAGTTTACAGAAGATAAAATATATTTAACATTATTAATTCAGAGCTTACTTTAAAAAGCAGTGTCTCTACCATTCTCCATGTGTCTAGGGTTACTTTATCTGGATTACCTAAAAGAACCAAGAACTTCTGCCCAATGGGTCTATCGTTTTCCATGGTTCCAACACTCTGTAGCAACAAGGGCCAGTTTCCCATGAAGTGACTCAAAGTGGCAAATCTCAAGACGCATTACTGCCTTGTTGGGCTCTCTTGTCTCCCTGAAATTCTCTTGCTAGTGGTACCCCCAGTTTCTCTAAATTTCAGCATGGTACCTAGTACCACATGACAACTTCCTGTCTCCTGATGGGGGCCACGTACACTTTCTGGTGACAGCTGCATGTTGTCAACTAATCTGATCTACTCAGCCAAAACAATCATTGATTATATATTCATATTTAACATGTAATAGACATACAAAAACATGTAATATCTCTTCCCAAGTGAAAGAATACACATTTATTTACTCATTCAACATACAATTGACTGCTTATAAATTCAAGATGTCCATTAAGGAGAGTTGAAATAATATCCCTGACCTGAAGGATTGTTTCACCTTCATTGTGGACCATGGAAGTATTACTATAATCAGGGATTCTAAGGTAGCCAAGAGGCAGGCAGTGACATGACCATTTCTCAGGTCACTTTCTAGGGGATCACACTTGTCCATGACCTTTCTGCTCTGGCTAGAGATAAAGCTGAGGCTGCCTCAAGGGAAGGAGGCCCAGTGATTCTCCTGAACACACACAAGCAATGCAAGTGCAGTGCGCAGTGGTCTGTTTCCTGTGAAAAGTCAGCCAGGTGCCTTCTTAAGAATTGGATGGAAGCAAGATAAGGGTGACATTCTGGAAGAGCTGCCATACCAAAGAGCTTGGATTCATTTTATCTTTGGTGTGATGCCCAGAAGAGCTGTAGGAGATGGTGGATATCTTCTCTGGGATACTTGTATGGCTCTCAGGACACTGAGGAGGCAACTGTTCCAGCAAAAGTACCCTCACTCCTGTTAATGATAATCTTCCCTAGGGTAGATACTACAGGCCAATTTAACAGTGACTTATAAGATCCTCATGCATTGCTAACCACACTGGCTCAGGCAAAGTCTCCAAGTAGGATGTACTGGAATCACCTGACCACCTTTGTAAAATAGCATTGCCTGGATGCTATGTTCTATAAAAGTCTGAATTAATCAGCCTGAAATATTACTTGTGTGTTATCATTATTTAAACTTTATAGATGATTCTATTACACAAGTCACCCATTCTATGACTTAAGGAGAACACTAATGCCTGTGCTCAACCCGGACCAATTGATCAGAATCTCTGACATTGGGAACAGGACTCTAGTATTTTATACACTACCCTCAGGCAATTCCAATGTGCAGCTGGCATAAGAAACAAAGAGCCAAAGAGAAAAGGGCCTAAACTTGATTAATGATTAAGGATGCAGGGTTCGTATGCATTGGTAGCAGTTTTTATTTCCTTGTTCTTCTGGGAAGAGGGTCTCCCCTTTCTGGAGAGTGATGATGGTCATCTGAGTCCCTAGAGTGAGAAGGAAACTGTCCCCAGACCTCCACTCTAGAGCAGTCTCAGTCTCCCTTGGGCATGTGATTCAGGATTCTCCCAGGAAATTGAATGGGAGCTATGGCAAGATGGCCACTGGGTCTTGGTCTTTGTCATGTATAAATGTTTTTAAAAAGCCAAAGAAATGACCAGACTCTAAATTTCCCCAGCACAAGAATTTTCACTAAAAAGTCCAGAACAAGATTGAAAATAATTGTTAGTTAGTGACTATTAATCTTTTATTACTTTCTGCACTAAGAGAAGTAACAGAGCTATGATCCAAATTCCTATGCCCTTTTGCTTCAAGAGGGACACTTCTGATCTTTGTGTACTCAGCCAAGATGTAATACAGACTTTGAGAAAGAGGCCTCTTTTCTTTATGTATTAAGGTGAAACAATTCATTAGGGTCTCAGCATCCCTGTAGGCAGTGGACCCTTCTTGGATGATGGAACAATCAAAAGAGGCTTACAAATTCCTGTGCAGAGTAGGGACAAATAGGATTTGGAATATGAGTAAAAGAATAGACCCAGGATGGACTCTCTGGGTTTGTGGTCAAAAGTGTACATTTTATGAAATGGAAGCACCAGGAAAGATCATGTAGTGAGTTTGGGGACAGGAGAATACGTTAAGTTTTGACTGCATGAGTTTGGGTTGTGCTTTAAAGTGCCCGGAAAGAGATGCTGAGTGAGCACAGGGATGTGCACAAAGGCAGGGGACAGGCTGGACATCTGGGAGCTGGAGGCATAGCAATAGACCTGCTGATGTCAGAGTGATTTGACCATCTGAGGCCGACCAAATAGCCAAAGGTGGAAACCTGGGGGATTCTATGTAAGTGTTGGAGGAGAAGAAGGGCTAGAAAGGAAAGAGACAGAACAGTGAGGCTGATTGAGTAAACCCAGGAGAGTGATGGTGGAACTGAACAAAAACGGAAGTTCAGCTGCATGTTGCTACGAAAGCCAAACTCATAAGGAAGATGCTGGTGCAAAAGGCAAGAGGATTTTTTCAGGTGCTGCATGACCTTGGAGAATGGTGGACTCCTGTCTCAAAGACCATCTCCTTCTACCACGCAAAAAGTCCATCTCCTCAGCAAGGCCAAGACAAAAGCCAGTGTCCAGAATTGTCACTCTGTTTTCAAGTACATTCCATTGCAGCCTGCAGGTGGCTGCTAAGCAGTGTTGGTCCCCATCCAGGTGGTTTAGCACTTTCCCAGCTGCTCCCACCAGTATCCTGTGTGTAGGGCCCACATGGCCATAGGTGATATGGCTACTAGGGCTGCTTGGTCAGGTACTTCCAGGAGAGAGTGTGTGAGCACACAGGCGAGTGCATCACCAGGTGGGTCAGAGGAGACTCCCTCATGGTTCCAAGGACTACGTGGATGCTAAAGGCCACATGGCCTTAGAGAGAACAGGCCAGTCCACCTTGTGAGAGCAGGTCAAGAGCATCGAGAGAACTTCTTTGTTCCTCTAGGATTATATTAGGTTTTGTGCAGGACAAACCAGGTGCTTTCTCAAAACGACCAATCAAATTCCCAAACTTTCATGTGCTTTGGGTGGGTTCATTCCCAACCAATTCCTTCTTTCACCTTGTTAGACAGACAGGCCTCTTTGGTCCAACACCTTCCCATGCACCATTTTAAATTCTATGGCACTGGAGTCTGCCTTCTCCTGGTCCCACCCCCAAACTACTACAAGATTAGGGGTAAGAGCACGGGGGAGGGCTTTTTTTCTTTTTTAATATAGGCATGTGGTCTTGGACAAAGATGCAAAGAAAATTCAAGGGAAGAAAGTCTTTTTAATAAAAGGAGGGGGAAACATTTTATGTATCAGGACCTCTGTCTATGCTTGTGCAGTTGAGGTAAGTATTGAAAGATCTTAACAGATGTAATAACAAAGTATGACCAGTGCTCACAATTTTTTCATAACAAATTTTATTTCTAGGATGAAGAGGCATGTTAGAAAGCAGAAAGAGCATGAACTTACTGTGAAGGTAGACCCGGGTGTGGGTCTTAGTTTAGGCACTCAGTTCACTTTGGATTAATTACACAGGTCTTCATGTTCTGGTCTGTGAAGCCAGGCTAAGCATGCCTATATTGCAATGTTGTTGTGGCATAGATTAGCAAAAATATATTTAAAGCCATTGCACACAGCTGGCACTTATATGTTTATGTAAAATAAGGGCACTGACTGAAGCCAGGCCAAACTGTCTGGTCTTCGGCAAACTATTTAACTTCTCTGTGCTTCCTTTTCCTCACTTGATGATCATCATATTAATATTACACACCTAATGGAACAGTTGTGAAAATTTTTAAAGGATAATAGTCAAAGTCATGTAAATTGCTTACAGCAATGCAAAGCACATAATAAATGCTAAATGATGTTTGCTGTAATTACGATATATCTTGGACTGGAAACACCTAAAGGGAAGAAACTGTTCATCGCCTTAATACCTAGACAAAGATTTTGGTCATTGTT